AAAAAAAAAAAAAAAAAAATCTACCAAGGTTTATCATAACAATACTTTTATTTTATTTTGAGACAGGGTCTTGCTCTGCTGCCCAGGCTGGAGTACAGTGGTGCAATCACAGCTCACTGCAGCCTCAACCTCCCAGGCTCAAGTGATCCCGCCACCTCAGCCTCCCAGGAAGCTGGGACCCAGCTAATTTCTGTATTTTTTTTAGAGACAGGTTCTCTCCATGTTGTCCAGGCTGGTCTCAAACTCCAGGACGCAAGTGATCATCCTGCCTCAGCCTCCCAAAATACTGGGATTACAGGCATGAGCTACCTCGTCCAGCCTAATATCTTAATTATTAAAAATGTTTTTAAAGTATCCAAATGTTCAACAAGAGGGGAAAAAGTTAAATACATTCTGGCATATCCACTTGATTGGATATTAGGACGACATTGCAATGAGAATTATGATTGACAATGACGAAATCTACATAAGTGGTGACGCTAGAACAGTGAAGGAAGCAGTTCAGAACTGTGTGTGCCTTAGAAATATAACTAAAAACATACAGCACGAAGAAAAACTAGGAAGGCTTCCACCCAGCAAATATGAAAGTGTTTGAGATTAAAAGTAAATCAAAGGTGGAATTACAAGCAGCACTTCCACTTTTTTGTAGTGTTGACATACAAAGCTGTAAAAAATACGCTTTGAAAACCTCCCAGTGCTATGGCTGGACAATCGGCAGGTCAGTGACCAGGCCTGGCCTGGTGCTATTAATAGGGCAAATAATGTCAATATATTGAATTGGAAAAGAAGCTGTCAGAGTGGTTTCTCTTTTTTTTCATGTTGTTTTGTTTTTGTTTCTGTGCTGGTATGGGGATTTTTAGAAATCGTTCCAGGGTCTCAGTAGTAACCCTTGCAAGGCAAGTCTGGCCCAGGGTCTGGACAATTCTCGAGGCAGGAAGCACAGAGATGAAAAACGGGACTCACTGCCTGACCACAGAGAGAAGAGCTGTACCTTTTGACCAGGTGTGTTTCTACCATGTGCTGGGAGGAGTGTTCTCAGAACCATGACTCAGCCCAGTAGCTGTAAACCAGCCTCCGGCACTACCCCGGAGACTTCCTGGGGCACTTGCTTACGGTGGCTGTAAAAGTGCTTCTAACTTCCTCACCTCCCACAGGGAGAGGGAGGTCAACTCCAGGAATTGACAAAGGCTGATCATCAGCCTTTGTCAGAAGGACCTGGAGCCCATCAGCAGAGGCTGTTTCCCATCACAGGGTGCTGCCGAGCCCGCACCTGGGCTGGTGGACAAACATGTCCCGCCTGATCCTAGGGTACAAAAGGTTAACCAACACAAAGGGGCCCAAGGAAATAATATAAATTTGCAGAAGCAAAGTTTTCAGGTTCCAAAGATTCTCCCTTGGGGGTGGGAGAGATACCATGGTGCATGTTACCTGCTTAGTAGTAAAGACAAAAGCAGGTAACAAAAGTGGATTCCTAGGCAGCGCCTCCTTAAGTAGCCAGTAGAGGGCTCTGCGAACCTAATCAACAAGTGATTGCTTTACAATATTTTTTAATTAGCTACCACCTCTAACTCAACTCTCTAATGAATAGAATTTAGTGGGAGTTAAGCCACACTTCCTCTCTCTCTCTCTTTTTTTTTTTTTTTTTTTTTTTTTTTTTTGAAATGAAGTCTCACTCTGTTGCCCAGGCTGGAGTGCAATGGCACAATCTCAGCTCACTGCAACCTCCACCTTCCAGGCTCAAGCAATTCTCCAGTCTCAGCCTCCCTAGTAGCTGGGCTTACAGGCACACTTTACCACACCTGGCTAATTTTTGTATTTTTAGTAGAGACGGGGTTTCACCATGTTGGTCAGGCTGGTCTTGAACTCCTGACCTCAGGTGATCCACCCACCTCAGTCTCCCAAAGTGCTGGGATTACAAGCATGAGCCACAATGCCTGACCTATTTTTTCTTTTCCCTTCTTTCTTTTTTTTTTAGACAGGTCTCTGTCGCCCAAGCTGGAGGGCAGTGGTGCAATCTCCCGGGCTCAAGCCATCCTCCCACTTCAGCCTCCTGAACAGTTGGGACTGCAGGCACGCACCACCATGTCCAGCTGATTTTTACATTTTTTGTAGATGTTGTAGACCAGCCTGGGCAACATTTTATAGACCAGCTTGGGCAACATATCCTCCAATGTTGCCCAGGCTGGTCTCAAACTCCTGGCCTCAAGTAATCTGCCCATTTCAGCCTCCCAGAGTGCTGGGATTACGATGTGAGCCACCACGCCTGGCTTTCTTTCTCATTTTGAAAAGCAGGAAAGCATCATGGCACGACAGAAAGAGCATTGAAGGAGGAGTCAGTCAATTTGGGCTTAATCCTTGGTCCATCCTAAATACTTGGTGTCCTTGGCTAAGTCCTCCTGCTAGGAGGACTTCTGTCATCCGCACATTGAGAGGTCCTTTTTGCCCGGGGCCCTGACAGCCAGCTGGTATAGCCAGTGTAGCAGATGGGGCTCATTTCAGCTGCCTGGAAGGAACCCTGGTTCCCCCCACCCCTGCCCCGTTGGCCCTTGGCAACTTTTAACCAGCCCACCTTGGAATTAATTTTGTAGACAAGTTCTACAAAATTCACTACAAGTTCACTGAGCAAAGTGACAAAATAATGCACACCATGAATAGTGTACCCTTGGCAAACAGCAGGCGCCAATAATAGATATTTCAATTACTGTCTATTACAATTCACACTCTCTTACTGCCCACATCTATATGCTTTCAAATACAAAAATAAACAGATCTGCTCCAATAGTTTTTAAAACTTCTTTGAAAATGATCCTCCTCATCATTGTGGCCTTTCTGAGCAAACATCCCTTACAGCAAACACCATCCTCTTCAAGCTTTCCAAAGACTCTCCGCACCCCCTTCCACATCCAATACCTGCCAGGAAGTTCCGAGTGAAATGTAAGGACAGTAATGGAAAGCCCAGGAGTGTGGGAGAATTACTTCCTCTTCCTCAGTGAGTCTTTTACTGGTCATATGCTCCCAGTATCTTGTCTAATAAGCTCTCTTAACTCCCTTCGGTTTTTTTTTTTTTTTTTTTTTAAGGGAATCAGTTCTATCTGTGAAGAGGGAGCCGGGCATCTCTTAGCTTCGTGAGTCCTCCTTACCTTCTTGATCTGATCCTCCTTCAGCTTGCTGAAGTAAAATGCCATCAGGTGGACTGCAAACATTTTCCTCAAGTTTGGTTTCTCCTGAGATGGGCAGAGATTCCTGTGGAGGGTTCACTCCCACGACTCTGAAGTGCTGCTCGCTTCCCGTCCAGGCTGGCAGACCTCCTGGGGAGCGAGGTGCTGCGGAGTAAATACCTCCAGCCTGCTTGGTTCAATGATTAAGCTTCGCCACCCCCCCCCCCACCCTTTGATCCCTCCCTCTGGCACACGCTCAATTGTCTAATAGAAGGCTCTGGGTGGTAGCTGAGGGTTAGTGGAGGGGGAAGCAGGGAATTGATGGGTTTCTTGATTACTTGAGAATCAGGTGCCACGAAATCTCATTGCTAAGCAACCCTCTCAAGCCAGGGCTCTGCCAGACCCACTCAGCCGAGGAAAATCTTCTGAGAAGTTGGGCACTAAACAAAGCCAACTTTCTTTCTTTCTTTTTTTTTTTGGAGACTGAGTCTCATTCTGCCGCCCAGGCTAGAGTGCAGTCGCACAATCCTGGCTCACTGCAACCTCCACCACCCAGGTTCAAGTGATTCTCCTACCTCAGCCTCCCAAGTAGCTGGGATTACAGTTATGTGTCACCACACCCAGCTAATTAACAAAGCCAGTTTTCAACCAGTGGAGCTGCTCTGCAAATTTCCAGTCCCAGGCTTTTCTCTTTAGTCTTTTTATGCCGGTGGCATAACTCTGTGACCCCCTGCTCCTCAGAAGCGCCATCCTAACTACAATAAACATCGTCCTGGTCAAGGGGATTTCAATAATGTTGGGGCAGATTCTTCCACTTGTGACAGATCAGATATCTTAACTAGTATCTTAACAGAAAATGATCAATAAATGTTTACCTATTCACAATGTTAAGCCAGAAAACCTTTATTTCACAGGTAGCGACCCAGGAAAAAATATGCCTGAGAAAGGGTGAACTGAGGTCACCAGTACTCACTAGGAATCATTGCTGCAGAGAAGGAAGTCACAGATAAGAAATGTCTCAGGCCAGCAGGGTGTGGTGGCTCATGCCTGTAATCTCAGCACTGTGGGAAGCTGAGGCTGGTGGATCACCTGATTACCTGAGGTCAGGAATTTGAGACCCACCTGGCCAACATGATGAAACCCTGTTTCTACATAAAATATAAAATACATAAAATTAAAAATATAAAATACTTAGCTGGGCGTGGCGGTGGGTACCTGTAATCCCAGCTACTCAGGAGGCTGAGGCAGGAGAATCGCTTGAACCTAAGAGGCAAAGGTTGCAGTGAGCCGAGGTCACACCATTGCACTCCAGCCTAGGCGACAAGAGCAAAACTCCATCTCAAAAAAAAAAAAAAAAGGGAAATGTCTCAGGCCACTGAGATGTTTTATTCACTCACTTCTCACTCATTATACGTGGTGTGAGAAGGACCCAGAAAGCAGCCAATAGGGGGTACAATCAGCCTTGAACTCTTTCCACAGTCACAGACTGGCTAATTGAAACCAACAACAGCAGTGTTAACAATAGCAGCTAACATGATGGCACACTTACCAATCCCATTTTGTTTTTATTATTATTACTTTTTAAACAGGGTCTCATTCTGTCCCCCAGGCTGGAATGCAGTGGTGGAATGATGACTCGCTGCAGCCTCAACCTTCTGGGCTCAGGTGATCCTCCCACCTCAGTCCCCAGGGTAGCGGGGACTCCAGGTGTGCGCCACCATGCCTGGCTAATTTTTGTATTTTTGTAGAGATGGGGTTTTGTCATGTTGCCCAGGCTAGTCTTGAACTCCTGGGCTCAAGTGATTTACCCACCTCACCCTCCCAAAGGGTTGGAATTACAGACGTGAGCCACCACGCCTGGCCCACTCTCATTTTATAAATGAAAAAACTGAGGCCCAAGAAGGTTAGGTGATGCCAAAGCCGTAAACAGGACAGTGAGGGGTCAATCCTGGGAGTTTGATCCCAGGGCCCAGCTCTTAATACGTGACATTGGCTCTCCATCCCTGCTTTCTTCACGCAATAGACACTCAGTAGATATCCAATTGGTAACTATTAGTAGCAGGAGCATTCTGTTGGGTTATTAAGAATTTCTTTTTCTTTTTCTTTTTCTTTTTTGAGACAGCTTTACTCTGTTGCCCAGGCTGGAGTACAGTGGCTCGATCTCGGCTCACTGCAGCCTCCACCTCCTGGGTTCAAGCAATTCTCCTGCCTCAGCTTCCCAAGTAGCTGGGATTACAGGCACACACCGCCACACCTGGCTAATTTTTGTATTTTTAGTAGAGACGAGATTTCACCATGTTGGCCAGGCCAGTCTGGAACTCCTGACCTCAAGTGATCCACCTGCCTTGGCCTCCCAAAGTGCTGGGATTATAGGCATGAGCCACTGCATCTGGCGGTTGTTAAGAATTTCAACCACATACTTGGAAAACTAAATACAGAGATATCATGTCAATTATGTCAACAGGGTGTTCCCAGTAGAGGGAAAAGGGAAATGAAGACATTCCTGACTATAATGTCCCAAACACTCATCAAATGCTCCCTAAAATTAGCAACTGACCAGAGGTTCACATAGGTCCGCTGGACACCCTGATGTTTCTCCCTTCTACATGGCACCTGCTTCTCATTACAAGGGGCCTCTGGGTGTGGGGGAACATATATTTTCTGGTCAACTTGACAGCTTCAGCTTTGTTTGCTTTTCTACTGCACAATCTCATCAATCAAAATAATTGCTGAATGATTGCCTGGAGAGGGAACCTTCAATAGCCACCTCTTCAGAAGCCACTGACTCTCCAATCAATGCTCCCTACCCATCGCCATGTGGACCATCCATCAGGTCTCACTTAAGCCCACAGTGCAGAGGCAGCTCGGTTAAAATTACTCCAGATGCTTTTTTCATATTGATATAAGCATATTAAAACTGTCTCCCAGATTGAGAATCCCCATCCTTTTCAGTTCATTTACCTTCAGACTATGAATTTTAGCTTGCTCCTTTATTACACAAGAAAACAAAGATTAACCTTTCATTCCCCAAACCATTCAGTTCCCCAAATCAGGTGGAATTGTTGGTATTCTGAAATGGGCATGCTATGCCCTAGCCCACACTGGCTGAGGATAACATCCTGTGAAGGTCACCTGTCAATTATTTATCCCCCACTATTTTTTTAATTGCAGAAACAGTCTCGCTACATTGCCCAGGCTGGATTCGAACTCCTGGTCTCAAATGATCCTCTAGCTTAAGCATCCTGAGTAGCTGGGACTACAGGCTTGTATAACCACACCCAGCATTTAATTCTCCCATTTAAAAAGTAACTGGGCCAGGCACAGTGGCTTATGCCTGTAATCCCCGCACTTTGGGAGGCTGAGGTGGGCGGATCATCCAATGTCAGGACTTCGAGACCAGCTTGGCCAATGTGGTGAAACCCTGTCTCTACTAAAAATGCACAAATTAGCTGGGCATGGTGGTGGGCGCCTGCAATCCCAGCTACTTGGGAGGCTGAGGTAGGAGAATCGCTTGAACCTGGGAGGCGGAGTGTGCAGTGAGCCAAGATTGCACCACTGCACTCCAGCCTGGGTGACAGAGTGAGACTTTGTCTCAAAACAAAAACAAAAAAAGTAACTTGGCCAGGCGCGGTGGCTCAGGACTATAATCTCAGCATTTTGGGAGGCCAAGGTGGGTGGATCACCTGGGGTCAGGAGTTTAAGACCAGCCTGGCCAACATGGCAAAACCCTGTCTCTACTAAAAAAATACAAAAATTAGCCGGGCATGGTGGCACATGCCTGTAATCCCAGCTACTCAGAAGGCAGAGGCAGGAGAATTGCTTGAACCCAGGAGGTGGAAGTTGCAGTGAGCCAAGATCGTGCCACTGCACTCCAGCCTGGGCGATAGAGCAAGACTCCATCCCAAAAAAAAAAAAAAAAAGTACGCTCCAGTGTAGTATGCACCAACTGGCATTGATTTGTTCAACATCAGTATAAGAGGTTACAGTGGCCAGTGGACAAAAGGACACAAATCATAACCAAAGATCTCTGCAATCTCACGGTTGCTTGTGTGAGTCAGAGAGGCAGCCCTTGGGTTTTAATCGGGCAAATGACACGGGATGATTTTCATCTATTGCATCATTCCATTTTTAATCTGAGCACATTAGCATCTACATTACAGGGCTGACTAAGGTGACTAAACCAGGAAGTTTAATGATTACAGAGATCACATGCATTTGGAGTCACCTAGCTCAGCCCCCTCACTTTATAGAATCAAGACAAAATAATTAGGTTATTTTACCATTCCTCATCTGATTACGCCAATTCAAGTCTTGGGATTTTTCAACCTTACTAAAGCTATTCAAATCTTGTAAGTACTTGGATTTTGCTTAAGAACACCCATTTGAGGGCAGAGAGGGACAAGTGACATTTCAGTTACAGTGTATCACACATCTGGCCCAAATCTTCCATGTAAGAAGGGAAACTCTCCCATCTCGAGGTACAACTCTGTTTCATAGAGCTCCCCTTTAATCTACACGGCTCCTTTTGGCAAGGCCCAAAGATACTACTACCTGTTTTCCTTACTGAGTTTGGTGGGAGGACTAGAAGTCCAGTAAAAATTTACCTATTTAGCCAGGCGCGGTGGCTCACGCCTGTAATCCCAGCACTGTGGGAGGCTGAGGCAGGCGGATCACCTGAGGTCAGAAGTTTCAGATCAGCCTGGCCAATATGGAGAAATCCTGTCTCTACTAAAAATACAAAAAAATTAGCCAGGCATGGTGGCGCATGCTTGTAATCCCAGCTACTCAGGACGCTGAGGCAGGAGAATCACTTGAACCCAGGAGGTGGAGGTTGTGGTGAGCTGAGATTGAGCCATTGCACTCCAACCTGGGCAAGAAGAGTGAAACTCCCTCTCAGGAAGAAAAAAAAATTTTACCCATTTATTTAGCAAATACTTCCATGGGTTTTACTAGATGTCTTACAATAGTAATTCCACAGTAACCATCATTCTCCCTGTTTTACAGATGGAGAAACAGCCCAGCTGGGATGTGGGAGAATTGAGATTAGGACGCAGGCAGTCTGGCTCCAGAGTTCTCGGTTGCCCGCTGTGCTACACCTGCTAGGCTGGAAATAAAGCACAAGGAAACACGTCCCTCAGCTGGAAAACTAGCCCTATGGTCCAGGCAGCACAGTGGAAGTTACACAGGCCCCGGTGTCCCACTTGGCTTTTTTTTACTGAAGGTGAAGGTCCATGTCTATATTCGTATCTGTAAAAGCTTCATAGCTATGTCAGTGGTCACTACAAGAAAGAAAGTAAATCAGTGAGGTCACACACGGA